CTGCTAAATCATGGAGGTTTGGGGAGTTCCTTCAGACACCCCAATAAACTTGTTTGTGGAGACCTGGGGAGTTCCTTCAGACCCACAATAAAACTTGTTTAATCCAATATGGGTCTCGTTAAGAACACCTTCATTATTTTGTCATGCTTTAAGGTCCAGGAAAAGCCTAGGCAAAACTATTGATGGGCTTTTGTTACATCCCAGCCTTTGTATAAGGGGCCTGGCTTTTAATATTTAACTTAACCCCTCAGTCAGTAGCGAAACAGTTGTTATGGAGGCCTGCATTAGTGAGACCTGGCCTGCCACGATCCTGTGTTCAAGTATTGAAAGACTGTATTATTAAGATGGCAGTACTACCCAAAGCAGTCTACAGATTCACCGAAAGCCCTTATCAGAATTCCAACAGCCTTTTTGCAAAAATGGAAAAGCTGACCATCAAACTCATACGAGATTTATAAATGCCCTGAATATCCAAAACAATACGGAAAAGGCCAAAGTTGGAGGACTGACACTTCCCAGTTTCAACACTTACTATAAAGCTACAGTGATCTAAACTATGGGCTATTGGCATAAGTACAGATCATACTAACATACAGATCACAAGAATAGAATTGAGGTTTCAGAAATAAACCCATATTCTATGGCCAACTAACTCTCAACGAATGATGCTGGAATAACTGGATATACACATTAAAAAAAAAGTTGAACCTCTATATGATATTGTGATAGAAGCAGAAATACATATTTTGGTCCTGTACCAGTTTCCCGGTACACAGCTCCTAAAACCCTTGGAACATCCCAAGTCCCCAAGTTGTGTCTTTGTATGCTAATGAAATGACTAATGGCTAGGGGATCTAGATAGCGGTGTCGGGAGGGGGCGGGGGTAGTTGCCAGGAGGAGCCAACCAAGTAAATTAGAGAGACCTTCAAGGAGCACAACATCTGAAGGTTAAGTTGATCACCAGTAGCCAGTGATTTAACCAATCATGCCTTCATAATGAAGCCCCTCACTCCAATAAAAACCCAAAAGGATGGGGTTTAGACAGCTTTCTAGGTTGCTGAAAATGTGCAGGTACCCCAAGATCATGGAAGCTCTACAATTCTTCCTCCATATCTTGCCCCGTGAAGCTCTTCAATTTAGCTATTCCTTTTTAAAAGAGATAAACCTTAAGTGTTTCTCTGAGTTCTGTGAACCATTCTAGCAAATTACTATGGGAACTGTAACCTGGGGACCTACTATTTGTGACCGATGTCTGAAGTAGGGGGCAGTTTCATGGGACTGAGCCTTTAACCTGTAGGATCTGCATTTACTCTGGTTAATGTCAGAATTGAACTGTAGAATACCCAGTGGTGTCTGCAGAGAACTGGGAAATTGCTTGGTCTTAGGGAAAACAACCTAAACTTCTGGTGTCAGAAGTAATGTACTGAGTATTGAGAGTACAGAAGGAAAAAGTTTGTTTTTTCTTACTCTACCTCATACCATATATAAAAGTTAAGTTAAAATGTATCGAACCAGCAGGGCTCATGCCTATAATCCCAGCACTTTGGAAGGCTGAGGTGGGTGGATCACCTGTGGTCAGGCGTTCAAAACCAGCCTGACCAACATGGTGAAACCCTGTCTCCACTAAAAATACAAAAATTAACTGAGCATGGTGGTAGGTGCCTGTAATCCCAACTACTCAGGAAGCTGAGGCAGGAGAATCACTTGAACTCGGGAGACAGGGGTTGCAGTGAGCCAAGATCATGCCATTGCACTCCAGCCTGGGCAATGGAGCAAGGCTCTGTCTCAAAAAAAAAAAAAAAAAAAAAAAAAAAAAAGTATCAAACCTAGATATAAAAGCTGACATAATAGTACTCTTAAAAGAAAACATAGGGATACTGACCTTCAGTTTGGCAATGGTTTCTTAGCTATCATACCAAAAGAAGGAGCTACAAAAGAAAACATAAATTAGACTTCATCAAAATTAAAATTTTTGTACATAAAAGACATTATCAAGAAAGTGAAAATACAACATACAGAAAGGGAGAAAATATTTATAAATCATACATCCTGTAAGGGTCTAGTGTAAAGAATATGTAGAGAACTCATAACAACAAAAAGACAATGCAGTCTAAAAAAAGGTAGCCAAAGGACTTGAATAAACATTTCTCCAAAGAAGATATACAAATGGCCAAAAAGTACATAAAATCAGTTATTAGGGAGACACAAATCAGGACAATATGATGCCACTTCACACACATTAAGATGGTTAATATAAAAAAAATAAGAAAAACAAGTAATGGTGAAATCTGAACCTCTGTGCACTGTTGGAGAGACTGTAAAGTGGTGTCTGCTGTGGAAAACAGGTTGACAGTTTCTCAAATAGCTTACCATTGACTCACCATATTACCCAGCAATTCCACTTCTAGGTGTATATGCAAGAGAACTGAAAACAGATACTCAAATACTTGTGCATTAATGTCCATAGCTGCACTATTCACTATAGCTAAAAGTTGGAAACAGTCCCAATGTCCATCACCTGGTGAATGGATAAACATAATGTGATACATATAAACATTACTTTATTCCATAAAAAGGAATTAAGTACTGATACAAGCTACTAATACTAATGAAGTACTGATACATGGATAAACCTCCAAAACATTATGCTAAGTGAAAAAAAGATCCAAAAAAATCACATAATTGGATGATTTCATATATATGAAATATACAGAATAAGAAATCCATAGAGATTAAATTTAAAAAAAAAAAAAGTAGTATTTGCCAAGGGCTGGGCATGAGAGAAATAGGGAGTGACTGCCTACAGGTATGGGGCTTTCTTTTTAGGCAATGAAAATGTTTAGGGAGAGGTGGTGATTATGCAACATCATGAATAAGTGTCATTTAACTATACACTTTAAAATGGTTATTTTTCAATTATGTCCATTTCACCTCAATTGTAAAAAAAAAAAAAAATCTGAGGACAAAAGTTTGATCCACTAAATCGAGATTTCTGTTTGTCGTTTCTTACAGCTATACTACTATACTGTAATAGTTATATCCTTTCAAGTGTACATTAATATTTCTATCATTTAGAAACACTACTTCATTGTCCATTCTAATGGCCTGCCTCATCCAGCTCCCAAATCTTGCCTGACTGCATTTCTTAACTGTTGCTCAGTTCTGTGGCCTTGCATCCTTTCTGAAATCATTTAGTTATAAGTAATGCTCAGAACTATATTAAGTGTTCTGGTCCATATATTTTAATGTCAAATTGGCTCTTATCCTTAAGAATAACCATAAACAACACAAGACCAATTATAATGAAATGTTAAAGTGCCTGGCATAGTTCAAAGTGCTGTAACAAGTAGAGAAAAGACTGAATAGCTCTCTCTCTAGTTTCTAAATTAGGGTCAAGTGATTAAGATACAGATAACCAGGCCGGGTGTGGTGGCTCAAGCCTGTAATCCCAGCACTTTGGGAGGCCGAGGCGGGCAGATCACGAGGTCAAGAGATCGAGACCATCCTGGTCAACATGGTGAAACCCCGTCTCTACTAAAAATACAAAACATTAGCTGGGCATGGTGGCACGTGCCTGTAATCCCAGCTTCTCAAGAGGCTGAGGCAGGAGAATTACCTGAACCCAGGAGGCGGAGGTTGTGGTGAGCCAAGATCGCGCCATTGTACTCCAGCCTGGGTAACAAGAGCGAAACTCTTGTCTCAAAAAAAAAAAAAAAAAGATACAGATAACCAGTTAATAAGAACTTTTTTTTTTTTTTGAAACAGGGTCTCACTCTGTCACCCAGGCTCGAGTGCAGTGGTTCAATGTTGGCCCACTGCAACCTCCACTTCCGGGGTTCAAGTGATTCTCCTGCCTCAGCCTCCTGAGTAGCTGGGACTGCAGGCATGTGCCACCATGCCCAGCTAATTTTTGCATTTTTAGTAAAGATAGGGTTTCACCATGCTGGCCAGGCTGGTCTCAGACTCCTGGCCTCAAGTAATCCTCCTGCCTCGACCTCCTGAAGTGCTGAGATTATAGGCATGAGCCACCATCCCCAGCCAGAACCTTGTCTTTTAAAGCTTTGCCAGAATGCTTACGGTGACTGTCCATTCTCCATCACACTTGTATGCTTACCTTTGTCCTCCACCCCTTACAGGCTCTTACATGTATCAGAAGTACTATTCTTCTACTCACTGGATTCTTGTATACTCTTAAATATCTCACATATTCCACAAAGAAATGTAATCTTTATAATGTAACTAAGAGAAAGGACTTTGCAACCATACAGATCAAAGTCTATGTGAACAAACTGTTCATGTGTATACACTTTAGTTGCCTCCTCTGCAGAATGACACTAATAAGGTTGTCATAGGATTACATTATTTATATAAAGCATTTATAATATATTTTAATATGTTTTAAGCTCTCAATAAAAGTTGGCTACTTTTGTAACATACCTCCAATAGTATTACACATAATTGCTATTTTATCATTTCAAGTTTTATTTCAGATTCAAAGATACATACGTACATTTGTGACGTGGGTTTGTTGCATGTTGCTGAGGGTCTGGGTATGACTGATCCCATCACCCATGTAGAGAGCATAGTACCCAATGGTTAGTTTTTCAACCTTTGCTCCCTTCCCCCACACATAGGGGTCCCGATACATCTTTATGTCCATGAGTACCCAATGTTTAGCTCTTGCATATAGGGTGTATTTTTTTAAGGTACTAACAGATGGAATTAGGCCCACCCTATTGCTTAGCTTGCCATGATTATTCAAATCTAAAGTTGACATAAATCGGGCTTTAAGGCCTTAAACCAGGCTTGTTTAAGGAGTCACTCCTTCAGCCGTATGAAATGTTCTGCAGTAATTTTTTAGCAACAATAGGAAGTGTGAACAGAAATCTGTACCTTTCTTGTGTTTTCAGCTAGAAATGTTAATAAAATAATTTAAAAGAAGAACATAGAATTCATTTGTTGTTCAATTTGTTGCACAGACTAAGAGATGGCACAACACATTACAACACTGTGAGAAAAAAAATTTATTTTGTTCTAGTATTAAAAAAAACAAATTTACTGTCAATGAAAGATAAATACCATTTCCATAATTTAGAGTACAACCAAAGTACACAGACCATAAGAAATTACATCCAAAATTTTGGTAGCAGCTTCCCACTGAAATGTTTAATAGAAACTTTCAGTTATAATAATCAGTAAAACGAAAAGATTTGGCTTCTGACATACATAGGTGGTGCTGTAACTGTTTAGCACGCTTAGCTTCTAGTCGGAGCTGTCTAGTTCTCTCTCTGACAGCGTGTTGCTCTGCTATTTTTTCAATCCGTTTCCTTCTTAGCCATCTGTAGAAAAAGGAGTGATCAGATTTGGTGTGTATTAACTTGAATACACTCTTCATGCTATAAAGTTACTGCTATAGACAAAATAGATGCACATTTCTTTACAATGAAATACTGTCACAACACAAGTATTAACTGAAAAATGTAAAGCTTACACCCCAGGCTCATACAAGAATGGACAGTTAGATTTGGAGTCAAATGTTGGAAACTGTCTTAGGATGAAACTGCCAACTTAATTGGCTTTTTAATAATAAACACTATTTTACATGTGCTTTGGTCCTATTCTTTTTTTATAAATAAGATTTCTTACTGTTTGGTAGATTCCAAATAACTTATTCTTTGTAACTAGCTGTATTCTAAAACATTACTTAGCTACGTTAAGAATACTATCACGCAGAAATGCCGCTTTAGTCTTCTTACAGGTAAACTGTAGAGCTTTTAAGTCCACAAAATAGTACTTTCTTAAAATGAAAAATAAGCCAAACATGAAAACATCAAAACTAGGAAAGGAAAAGTCCACATTCTAACAAATTCAAGTCTTGTTTAAATAACAGCAAAAAATAACTGCATACACACATATAGCTGGTATGTAAGTATGTATTTGTATGTTTGAGTATATGTATGTATACATGTATATATATATGCACACACATACATATGGGTTTTTTTCAGAAATCTAAAGACCTAAATAACTGTATTAGAATAAAAGAAACTTACTAAATACCATAATCTGATGATATATGGTCCTGAACTGGATACTAGTTTAAGTAAATAAACTGAAATCATTTATGGGTCAGTTGGGGAATAAATGAATATGGGCTGGATATTAGGTAAGACTGTTAAAAAAAAAGCAGATTGCAGAATAACATATACAGCATGATCTCAATATTTTGCAATTATAAATATATGTACAGAGAAATACTTACACAATATACACACTGGTGATAATAGTCAATTTCTGGGTGATGAAAATGTAACTTGAAACTTCTTCATTTCTACAATGTACATTTACTGTTTCTGTCATAATAAAAGAGTATTTTAGGGAAAAAAAAAAAAAAAAGAAAAGAAAAAGGAGGCTGGGCATGGTGGCTCACATCTGTAATCCTAGCACTTTGTGAGGCCAAGATAGGTGGATCACTTGAGGACTGGAGTTTGAGACCAGCCTGAGCAACATGGTAAAACCCCATCTCTACTGAAAAATAGAAAAATTAGCCAGGTGTGCTGGCACAAACCCGTGGTCCCAGCTACTCAGAAGGCTGAGGTGGGAGATCACTCGAACCCAGGAGGGTGAGGTTGCCACTGCACTCCAGTCTGGGTGACAGGAAAAAAAAAAAAATAGGAATAAGGAAGAAAAAAGAAAAGAAGGAAAGAGCAAAAGAGATGAAAGAAGGAAATGAATTTCAAACAACTGGACTCAATATTCACTTTGACCCCCAACTCTCCCCACGCTTGCCAGCAAAAATATGAAGCCACACCCATATTCTCAGAATTAGGCAAAGCAGTGTCTTACCCAAATAACTGAAAAAACATCAGGTTTGCCTTAAATTATCAAAATATGTACCCAAGTCTCCTTTTTCTTTGGTCTATACAGATTTTCCTCCTCAGTCCACCTGCCTTTCTTTTACTGGTAAATGCAACTTTTATTGGTTACATTTATTGGTAAATACAGTGCATTTATTGGTTGCATTTACTGGTAAATTGAGTTTTTCTGAGGGCTATGTAGGAGAAGCTGTAATCAGTTGTCAGCCCCTTTCTCACAAAAATAAACAAGTACACAATAAATGATGCATCAAAGGTTATCACACTGGTGCCATAAGAAATAATTTAAGTACCGAAAAGTATCTTGAAAAAAATTGGTGTGCATATATACATATATAAAACTTCATATATATATATATATATATATATATATAATGGAATTAAAGATTTATACATTTTCAAAAGCATGAATTTAAAATTGAATAGGTAGGTGTTGTAAGAGAAACATTTTGAGGTCTTTTTTTTCAATCTTGATTGATGATATAACTCTTTTAAAATGACCATGAGGAAGGGGGCAGGGGGAAATGCCCTGCCTTTAACTTACTGTTTAAAGGCCCTTTCACGGCCTTCTGTTCCTTTAAGGAAGAATAAGCATTCCTCTTGCCTTCTTAGTTCTTCTGTCTTTCTTTCTTTCATCTGCTCTTGGTGTTTTTTTTTAAGCCATAATCGAAAAGCTTGTTGTGGATCTCTGTTTTCCTGCTGATTAGAAAAACAAGTTTTACTTAATTTAGATAAACCAGAACTACCTTTTGAAGCCCTGTCTATAGGACTCTACAAGAATGTATGTCCTACTCTTCATTTTTTCTTAATAATGCCAGCCTCAATACCTGCATTCCTAGTATCCAAACCAAACACAACACATTTATGTTTTAAGAATATCTTTCAGAAGCTACTTACCTGCTAAGCCCATTTTTCAAAACTGTAATTACAATTGTACAGGGTAGCCATAAGAATTTTTAGTCATAAGAATATTCTTACAAGGATAACACCATGGTAATTTTCATATAAGAAAAAGCTAGTAGGAGTAGCTTATTTCGTGGTCCCTCAAAGTTCATGATGGATATTATCTTCAGGGAATTTTCAAAAGTTGAAAGAGCTCTTATTTGGGAGAATAAAGGAGAGAAAGAGGACAGATTTGGTACTCTTTACCCTTGGAAAAAGTGTGACCTCATATGGATTTCTGGCTAGAATGCAAAGGGAAAAGGCACATTCATTTAATACTTCCCCCAAATATAAGCTCTGTGATTGAACTTAAATCTTGCATTTCTCTTGCCTGTTTCCTATACCTTGCATTTTTCCCTTGTTTGTAACCCACATTGCCAAATACGCTCTAGTCTAATTTATAAGATTATCCAGGACCTTTGATGCACAACTGAACTTTGTAAAGAAGACCTTGGATTTAAAGACTCATTGCCAAACACCTGGAAGTCTGGAAATTGCTAGAGATGACAGAAAAGTGTTCAATCAGGAATTATAGATCAAAAGAGTCCAGATACAAAGTAATAGATAGGAGGAATAAGTTCTGGTGTTGTATTACACAGTAGGGTGACTATAGTTAACAATAACGTATATTTCAAAATAATGAGGAGAGGATTTTTTAATGTTCTCATCATAAAGCAATGACAAGCGTTTGAGGTGACAGATATGCAAATTACACAATGTATACATGCGTCAAAACATCACACTATACTCCATAAATATGCAAAATTATTTGTCAATAAACACAATTTTAAAGTTAAAACATTTTTAAAACTCTTTAAAAACATTTTTAAAGAGTCAAGGATTTAGGGATCAACAGGATAGATGGGTATCCCATTCTTTCCTTCTTTCTACAGATATTCACAGAGTTTACTACATAGCAGGCACTAAAGTACTGGGTTGCATTAATAAATAAAATTAAGGTTCCCTCTCTCAAACATTCTATATTGTACAATACAGTAGCCACAAGTCATAAGGGGCTATTTAAATAAAATGTAAAATTCAGTACCTCAGTCATACCAGATACATTTTGAGTGCTTAACAGACACACATGGCTAGCAGCTACTATAATGGACAGTACAAACACAGAAAATTTCCATCATCCCAGAACATTGTATTGGGCAGTGTTCCGCACACAGAGGATAAAAATAAGTGACTGACTGAATGACTGATTTACTGATCGTCTGATTCAAAAGAAAAGTATGGGAAAGAGAGAAATAAAGGCAGCAATGAGGAGAAAGGATGGTATTTACATAGAAAGTAAGGGAGGAAGTTATGGGAAACCTGGAGAAAAGCAGTGGTAATAATAAGAGCAAAGGAGCTAAGAAGAATTGTGTTTGGCATGATCAATAAACAGTAAAGAAGTTGAAGTGAAGTTGTAACAAACTAGCTGAACAGTGGAAGATGAAGTCAGGGAAGTAGCAGGAATCAGGTAATGTATAACCTTGCTGGCCATGGTAGGAACTTTGGATTTCATTTTGAGATGAGAATCCATTGGGGGTTTCTGAGCCTAAGTGCATCAAAAATTCACCATTTTAGAAATATCATTCTGGCTACTACGTGGAAAACAGACTGCATGAGGAAGAGGCTAGGTAGAAGGGGACTCAGTTATTAGGCTTTTTAACAGTTCAGGCAACAGAAGAAAATAGTGGTTTGGATTAGGGTAGTGGGACTCTGTATATGCACTGATGACAGAACCAACATAATTTGCTCAAAAACTGAATATACAGTTTTATGTTATGTTTTAAATGATTATTTTTAAATTATTCCAGAATTATTAGTACAATAAAAAGTCAAGAAAATATGTTTTTAAAATTTAATGTAAATTAAAGCAGAACTATCATCAGAATGATAGACTGCATTGGTATGCAAAGATGTCACTGCATAAGTTCATAGCAAATAACTCTCAACAGTGGCGGGAACCAAAATAAGAAATTAGAAAAAATTATAAAGATAAAATATAAATTATACAAATAATTATTAATGGATTAAATTATCTGATTATAAAAAAGGATAAATGATAGAATTGGAGACTTTTGCATCCATTCATGATGGAGTAATTGGTATCAGATTAACCCTTCTGCCCTAATTAGCCATAAAACTAGACAAAATGCATGCAGGAGCGTGGTTACTGAGAGAAATAAAAATACATGATATAACCCCCTTATTCACCCTGGCTCTGTACTTGGTGGCACTTTCCTGACCACAGTATAGGAAGGAGAAGCCATAGCATCAAGCAGTCAATAGTCTCACTGGGCTCAAGAAACAGAGATAGGAGTCTGGTGCTGCTGAGACAGCTGAATTTCCATGGCAGGATACCAGAAATGAAGGAATCATGTGTAGGGATGCTCTATAAGTCTGTGTGGGGGTTTCCGTTGGGCCTTGGCAAGGACGGGGCTGTGTATGTGTAGAGTGAGGCTCTGTAAGGTCTAATAGAGAGTAGCTGCTGTTAATGAAGAAGATACCAAAGGTTGCACAGTTTTGGAGATGTTGGAGTTCCAATACAACCAGAGTGAAAATACTTCATTGCTTACCTTGATCACCCACTTAGAACCCTAAAAGGGCCATGCTTTTGAAGTAATGGTCACGTCCTAGCATAAGGATCATGCTCTAGGAATAAGGACAAAACCAAAATAAACCCATCCTAATAAAGCATAAATCCAAGTCTGACAGGATTGAGAGGATTCAATACTAATTTAACTGCCTACCAGAACAAAATTCAATACCCTTTAAAGGAAAACAGCATATCTTAGATTTTCTTGCAACTCTTTTATTGGGTGAAGATCCACAGTCTATTACCCAATTAAAAAAAAATCACAGGATATCTAAGGAAACAGGAAAATGTGACCCATAATCAAGAGAAAGAGGCCTTTAATAGTAACAGATGCTAAGATGACATGGATATTGGCATTTATATACAAACAGGTCTAATATTTAAGAAATAAAAATGTGAATATAATGAATAAACAGAGAATCTCAGTAAAGCAATGGAAACTTAAAAACAAACAAACAAACAAACAAAAAACCACACACACTAATTCCCTGAATGGGCTTAACAATTGAATGAACACTGCAGAAGTACTGATGTCTAAAGATGCATCAATAGGAATTACGTAAACTGAACGAAGGAAAAAAATTTTCAGTAAGCAGAAGTTTAGTAACAAGTGAGATTATAGCAAGTGTTCTAACATGCATAAAATTATACATCCAAAGATAAGGCAGGAAAAATAAAAGTGGCTGAGAATTTCTCAAATCTGGTACAAAACATCAACATAAAGATCCAAGAAGCTCAGCAAAACCCAGGTTAGGTATATTCACAGCAAATTACACACGTAATGAACTTCTAAAAGCCAAAGCAAGAAAAATGTTAAAGCAACCAGAGGAAAAGAGCATATACATACACAAGAACAATAACAAGAATAATATAGCTGACCTCTGAATAGAAACAATGGACGTTCGAAAAAGTTGAACACCATCTTTAAAATGCTGCAGAGGAAAATAGACAAATGGGATCTAATTAAACTTCAGAGTTTTTCCACAGCAAAAGAAACAATCATTAAAGTGAACTGGCAACCAACAGACTGGGAAAAAAATTTTGCAATCCATCCAATAAGAGCTAATATACAGAATCTACAAAGAACTAAAGCAGATTTACAAGAAAAAAAACAACCCCATCAAAAAGTGGACGAAGGATATGAACACACTTTTAAAAGATGTTTATGCGGCCAACAAACCTATGAAAAAATGTTCAACATCACTGATCATTAGAAAAATGCAAATCAAAACCACATTGGTGAGTTGGACTATCACTATAGCAGTAGAGAGAGAGAAAGATTAGAGATATGTTTTGGAGTATTAATTGAAGGAACTTGGTAATTGATTAGATAATGTGTGTAAGGCAGAATGAGATGTAAAGAGAATACATCAGGTTGAGCAACGTGGTGGATGTTCGTGCCAGTCTACGAAGCAGTAGAGAAGATACTGATTTAGGGGAAATTATCACATCCATTTTTAAATTGTTGAGTTTCAGGTACCCACAAAATATCCAGGTGAAGATATTAGAGATTAATTGCAGAAATCTGTCTAGTGTTCAGGAGAAAAATTGAGACTGAAGATATGAACTAGGAGATTAATGATTTCAGGGATGGAGTAGTTTTTGCAATAAGGATATGGCCATAGAAATATGTGGCAAGTGTACTGGAGAAAGACACAGAAGATGAGAGAATCAAAGGTCTGTGGGGCTGGTTGTTCAACGGCTCCTCTGTGTAGTTATAAACATACCTTGGGGCTGGGATGGAGAGGAACATTTAGCCTGGAGTGACCAGAGGTGGTTAGATAACTAGCTTTAATACAGCCAAGTGATACAAATATCAAAGGAGCATCGGTTTTCTCAGGAAAGTAGAGAAATACAATTCAGAAGAGGTATGGGGGAATGAAGAGAATATTAATTTATTTGACCACCAAAGTAACTGAAGTATGGCAGAAAATGCAGCTTCTGTTTCAAAGAAGATGTGGCTTGGGGAAGAATCAGAATTTGCATAAGAGAAAATTTAGGGCCAGATCCCTTTCAGTGACTTGGGAGGATGGAGGATATTTGGGAGTTTTTATATCATTGAATAGGAAAGAGAACTAGCAAGGCTTATGAAGGATGGGAGAAATTTGGGATGGGTAAAGGAGAAGCACAGCATATTGCTGTAGTGATCAAAGGTGTAAGAGGGGAC